GATTTGGTTGGTGTTGCTGCAAAAGGGTTCTCACGTGGAGCCCATCACTACTCACATTTCAATTGTCTCAATGACCGAAGCCCCGGAAAGTTTCATTGTTTCCACAGCTTTTACAAATTAATTACAGTGAAAACTTTTGTTTTCCACCTCTTCCAATGGAAATTATTTCCACGTAAAAATGACAATGAAGACAATTGAATCAAACAAATTTTATATTCAGACGTGAGCATCCATCCATCTGAACGCAGAAACCAAGGGACAAGGTCCCACTCTGCCTTCCCGTACTTTCTGACTCAACAACCTGTACCCCATTACATCCAGTTATTAGAAAGAAGTTAGAAATTTAAGTGTACTACAAACCTTAGCATTCAGCCATTTTTGATTGAAACCTAGTCTTGTACGTTGTAGAGCCCTAAATAGTTCCCTTTAAAAGCTTCATTTCAAAACTCAAACGCACAAGACAAGGCCAGAAGGCCCCAATTTTAGGCTTTGTGATTTGCATTTAGTGCATCGGAGATTAAAACTGTATTGGTTTTAGCTTATTACCAAATGCTCAAAACATTTTTTTTTTTGGCTCACTTTTGCTTTTCATAGAATAAAGTTCAAAAATAGAAGCTTATCCAAACAGAGCTTTAATTAAACTAAGGTTAAGTTTGGGAGTGCTGAAAAGTAATCACTTATTTTAGACCGAAACTACACCAATAAACACTTATTTGTGCTTGATAAATAAATTCGGAATAAGTGCTACTCACTTATTTGAGAAGCCCAAATTTTGGACTTATTTTAAGTATTTATTCAATAATTGCTTATTTCCTTTTTAGCCTATATTGGTCTACCACATCATTTTGAAAATACTTATACTGCCATAAGTGCTTTTCACCAAACCTTTGTAAGCACTTATTATTTAAATAAATACTCCCAAACTTCATTAAAGTTTAAAGAGTACATTAGCAAAAGAAACACCTAAATACAATGCAAGAAGGAATCCTTACATGCAATGGTTAAGTGGATAACAATGATGATTGAAGATAGTATCTCCATCTCATCGACATGTCAGGCCATGTGACCAATCCTCTTTACACATTTGTTTGAAGAGGATTAGCTAAGACATGACGATGACAATGGACAAGGGTGATGATGTTAATCTCCATTCATATATTCCCTACATATGAACGCAAATAGTAGAATTTATATGACTTGCTCAATGTGTTGAAGCAATTTGATAGCAACTTAGATTGCAAGCTCATAGCTGCCAATGTAGACTTGTTCAATTGTTACACGTCTTTGATTATTTTAATCTTCTCTCAGTAATTGCCATATGAATCCAGAAGCTCCTTATTATGGATAGGTAGAATGACTCATCAATCCTCACTAAAAGCCTTCATCCATCTTAACCAATTTTGATACAAAAAGTAAGTAGCTCTCTTAAATTATTAATACATTCTCATTCACAACCAGAAGTAAAGCTATTTTTTTATAACCAAGACTTAGGCTGACCCACCAAGCACGTTGGGCTGAACCAACCCTATTGACTAGACAAATTAAGTAGTTCAACCATTTCTTTTGATGGGCAAAGTTAACTAGTCAAGTAGTTTAACTAGTCTTTTTATTGGGTTATAAAATTTATAATAGATCCAGTCTGGCTCGGGACAAGGTGCATCATTCCCATTCCGATTAGTAATCAGGACAAAATCTCATGCTTAAAACTAAACCAATTATTAATTGGGACTATCAGATTTGACCCTATTATGCTTGGCATCTATAATTACCAACAAGGTAGAATGATCATATTACTTTATGTTAGCTACTTTGATGTGAATTTAATTCCTACAATTATTGACTTTGGAGATGTTTGGTTCCGTTGGCGTTTATTGAAAAAATGTCGCTACATCAACACCTTGGCGTTTATTGTAGATGAAGTAAAATGAAACAATTGTTTGATTTTACCATTTACCAAATAAATGGTAGAAATTGAAACACTTTGATTTTTATGTATAGGCCATTTGAGGAAGTGTCAAATTCTTGTTTCCCCCAACGCCCCAACATTTCTTGAAACCAAATACTTATGTGTCATACTTTAATGGGTATTAATATGAGATGAAGAATAAAAAATGTTTAAAATAAAGTTCAACCAAACAACAAAAACATAAAATGTTTAAAATAAAAAATATTTAAAATGTAAAAAGTATAAATAAACATTTAAAGTGAAAAAATGCAAAACATCACCCTATCTATAAACGCCAAAAACATACTTTGAGGAGGGGGTGGGGTAATTAGTGTAGTGTGTTTCACCAAATACCAATCCAACCCAATTATTGATCAAGAAAAAAACATAAAACCAGAACTGACACTAGTTGAGAATTGGGATATGCTCTCACTGCACATCCTGTTATGTAGAACATCTTCCACGAAAAATAACAAACAAAAAGGGGGAGATGTTCTGAATGTGCAGAAGAAATATACTATGACATCGGTGTGAGGAGTGTTCGGTTAGGAGTAACCCAGACGCTTCGGTTGAATTCTATTAGATAAACTCGACCTACTGGTAACCCTATTTCGTACAAATACCTAGGTGGTGTTTGGAAGCGTGGGCATTTTTTTGGGACCGATTTTCAAAAAAAAAAAATTGGTAAGGTGATTTTTATCATTGTATGTATGTACTGACAGGTAAGTGCCACATAGGATACATTCATACACATAATCGCCAATCAGTCAATTATTGGGGGCAATGGTTCATCGAAGCATGAAACGCCAAATTTGATGTTTCATGCAACGGTTGGGTCCCGATTTATGAGGCATGCCCTTTTTTAGCATTTTTTTCGAAAAATGCTTGAACCAAACAATCATGTATGTGGGCATTTGTGGAATCGCCTAGGTGGATCCAGCATGGCATCGTTTTTCAGAAAAAACGACCATGCTTTCAAACATCCCCCTATATATACAAGTCTAAGGACGATGGACCAGGTCGAACCGATATGGTCTATTATCAAATGATCTGGTCGAACCGGTAGATTAGAACTTGAGCAATCCATAAACCCTTGAGCAAATTTAACTAGACTAGAAGTAGGCAGCAGGGTGCCCATTGGGGGGACCTATAAAGCTATAAATAGGAATCCGTTACGGAGTAGTCCTACATGCGCCACACGCATACCGCAGCGCTGACGCCCGACACGTAAATGACAATTATACCCCCACACATCGGGCTAATAAATCATCTGGCCCCACCGCCCCAGCATCAATGGAATCTCTCCTTGATTGCCGAGGAAAACAGCCGCGCCAATTATTTCTCCAATAACTCAATCAAATCGAATTGGGATCTGTTCTTCACACAGCACGCCTCACATTAATTTCACATCCCTTCACACGATGACACCCACGTCCCATCTTGATAAAAGATGTTCCCAAAGTGCGGCCAGAACATACAGTGACATCGGTGTCAAGCGCGCTCTGTGTGAGAAGCAGATCCGGACTCAACCAAACCATCTAACATGTTTGAAAAAAAATCACATCCCTAAACTGCTAGAATCCTCATCCATCGGATTGGTTGACCCAAAGATAAAGAGACTGATCCCCTGTGACATTAGCACGATAAAAAGGTGGGAAAAACTCCGTGACATCAGTCACCAGCCATGGATGGAGAGAGACCACGTTCTCGCCACCGTACATTCAGGTTGGGACCGTACATAGTAGTAGTCCTGCCATGCGGATCCCACATTCATGGTAGTTTTACGTGCCACTGAGCGTCTCCATAAAAAAATTATTAAATATTAAGCGCCAAAAAAGCCCCAAACCCTAAAACGGAAAGATGGGTCAGCAAGATAAACCCTAGCACCAGGCTCTGACTCAGTAAACGGATAAGATTTTACCAAAAAAATGATTGCCAAACGCCCCACACCTTATTTATTACCACACGCCAAATTACTTTACTCTCTGCCTTCATATTTTCTACAACTATTTATTTAAAAAAAAAAATAGAAGCGAGGTGGGGACCACAGGAGTGGCATATTCATGATTTCTGGGGGTAGTTTGGACAATTAAATAGTAATTTTTATTCAGCTATGCGGTTACGCCAGGCCTTTCATCTCGTGTATTTCCAGATTTCTTGGCTCCTGCTCTGTCATTGTTTAATTTTCAGACGACAGGCCAAAAAAAATTAAGGTCAGAATTCAGAAGCAAGGAACAGTTTCCCTGGAAACCAATAAGCGCGTGTCGCATACAGCGATGAGCTTTTGTACACGTGTCTGATGCTTCCAACTTATCCTCATACGATAAAACGGGATCCGAGAAGTGAAATTCAATTAAACCGCTGACGCGCGTCCTGGTTAAGTTAAAAACTAACCACAGGGTTGGGTTAACCGGGAGCAAGCCTTCAGAGCGTGGGACCCACTTGAACCCGCCTTGAAAGCCGAGTCTCAACCCTCGCCTTTGCTGCTCGCACGCGCTTAACAGAACTTCGTTCCTTCAAGATAACGAGACAAAAGCCACAATTAGCAAAACTACAAAAATCAGAAAATTGAAAGAATTAAAAAAGAAAAATTCGTATTATCCACTCATTGGCCCTCGCCCCTCGCACGCCATTCAATGAACGCCAGCGACATCATGACTCACGAGCCTCTGAAGCCGTTCGGACTTCGGATGACTCCGTCAAGCTACCATATCCGCACCCGAAAATATACCAAAAAAATATCCAAAAATGCAAAAAGGAACTAATTCACCGTAATCCCCGGAGCACCAAATGTAATGCTTTCATTTGATCATGACCATCCAGCTGCCAAAATTCAGAAAAAAGAGTGAATCAGAAAAAGTGAAAAATAGGGAAAAGCGAAAACTGATACCGACACGCTAAAAATACGCCCTAAACGCTATCCGAAATTTCGAATATGCTCGTATTCGGGTTTCTTTTCCGAATTTTTTATTTTCATTTTCGCTGGCTTTCTCTTTTATTCTCACTGAGAGACTCGGCTGGCGAGTGGCGACTGCAGTCTTCTCGCGTGTATATAAAGGCAGCACCGCAGAAGCGAAAGGAGAGGAAGTATCGGAAGGGGAAAACTGAAGAGCCACACACACACGTGAACCCTCGCGAGGGGTTACTGGTTTCTGTATATTTCTGTCTTTTCTCCGGCCGATTTCGGGCGGAAGCCGCCGTGTTCCGGTAATACTCCGACAAGATCACCATGGGAGCGGCGATTCTCTCGGATCTCGCGACGGAGATCTTGATTCCGGTCTGTGCCGTAGTCGGGATTGCGTTCGCTTTGGTTCAGTGGTCCCTCGTCTCTCGCGTGAAACTCTCGCCTGAGAGGCAGACTTCTTCGAATAACAGTAAGAATGGGTATAACGATTACCTGATCGAAGAGGAAGAAGGTCTCAACGACCACAACGTCGCTACTAAATGCGCCGACATTCAGAGTGCCATCTCTGAAGGTGAGGTTTTAGGTTTAGATCTTGAATGAATGGTCTGTGAGTGTTTTGCTGGGTTTTTTGAGTAGATCTGCTAGTTTATTGTCTTTGATGATTGTGAGTATCTGTGTGGTTTTGATTAGATGTTATTAGTTTACTTGCAAGATCGAAGTTTTATGAAGTGATTTTACTGTTCTTATCTCCTGGTATCTATGATTCTCTGGTAGTAAGTTTGAAATGTATGTTTCTTATTCCCAGCATGTTCGGAGAAAAGAAGACGTTGGGGTTTTGTGAGGAAACTAACCATTGAGCTTCATTGGTCCTAGCGTTCTAAGTACTTTGATGAGAGGAGTTCGTATTTTCTTTTCTTTTGGGTTCTTGCTAGCTCAAGCTTGCGGATTGTCGGTGCTTTCTTCTTATGAATCCGTATTTGTTTTCAAAATCTCAAATTTTGTTTCATTCGTTTTGATTTCTTATTGTTTGTACTATATTATTGTTCTTTTCAGATTATGCGTATTTTATTAATTCCGGAAGTACTTGTATTTTTTACTAGTGCTTCCGAAATCATTTATATAGCAGATGTCCAGTTATAACGTTTTGGTTCTTGTTTACCGTCGTTTATTTTAGGACTTTTTCTTACTATGGTCACATGGGGAGTTTCTCTTCTCTTGGTGCGGTATTTCTTTTATTCTCCTTTATAGTATATTCATTTATCATATCATTTAAAAATTTTCATAAAGTGTATTCATGTTATTTTATGTTTCCTTTTGCTGTTAATAATTTCATATCTAGAACCATATTTCTAGTGGAAGCTTGCTTGGATTTTTGTGTTGTCTTGGTTGAATAATTTGGACGTGATATTTTCTGGATAATATTTTATGATGTGATACGCTTTACCGGTTGGTGCCCCACTAATAAATCTTTACATATCAGGTAACATATGGACAGTATCTATCTCATTAGCTGCATCTGTTAATTGACTGGGTTTTCTTAATAACTGACCAGCTCGGTCCGGCCATGCCCCCTTTGCTGCACAGGTCTGGGGCATTCTAGTATGTCCCCTAGTTGTACCAATCTTGTTGTCTGGATGGGAATAAATTGTTGCCATTTGACATTTGTATATTTCCAGTGAAAAGCAGATTTTTCTTGTATTTGATGATATATTACTGTCTAGCCCAGCCCCATGTTTTGTAATATTGAAATTACTCTCTTTAAATGAGGCAGGTTATTTTCCTCCTTGGTATTTGGCTCTGAATCAACAGAAACTGATATGGAGACTTTAATCTATGGTTTCTGTTATTATATTTGGCATTTCATTCTTTTAACATGTAGTTAGCTATAATCTGCATGTATAAGCCATTGGCCGTAGAGCTAGTGAGTTTAACTTTTAGTGATTGGACGGTTGTTACAGGAGCTACTTCCTTCCTTTTTACTGAATATCAGTATGTTGGTGTGTTTATGGTTGCCTTTGCAATTCTCATCTTCCTCTTCCTTGGCTCTGTTGAGGGCTTCAGCACAAAAAGTCAGCCTTGCACCTACAGTCCTGACAAAACCTGCAAGCCTGCTCTTGCCAATGCCATATTCAGCACTGTATCCTTTATTCTTGGTGCTGTTACCTCTGTCATCTCTGGATTCCTTGGTATGAAAATTGCCACCTTTGCAAATGCTAGAACAACCCTGGAAGCAAGGAAAGGTGTTGGCAAGGCTTTCATTGTGGCATTCAGATCTGGAGCAGTCATGGGCTTTCTTCTTGCTGCAAATGGTTTATTGGTGCTCTACATTGCCATCAACCTCTTCAAGCTCTATTATGGTGATGACTGGGAAGGACTTTTTGAGGCTATTACAGGCTATGGTCTTGGTGGATCTTCCATGGCCCTCTTTGGGAGAGTTGGTGGTGGCATCTACACAAAAGCTGCTGATGTAGGTGCTGATCTTGTGGGCAAGGTTGAAAGGAACATTCCTGAGGATGACCCAAGAAACCCAGCTGTAAGTAACGTGACATTTCTGAGTATAGTTTCTTTGACATTCCTTTTCAACTCTGGCTCCTTCCTGACTAATATTTATATCTGCTTTCAGGTCATTGCTGACAATGTTGGTGACAATGTCGGGGATATTGCTGGGATGGGTTCTGATCTTTTTGGATCATATGCTGAATCCTCCTGTGCTGCACTTGTTGTTGCATCCATTTCTTCTTTTGGGATCAACCATGATTTAACCGCAATGTGTTATCCCTTACTTATTAGCTCCATTGGTATCATTGTTTGTTTGATCACCACCCTTTTTGCAACTGATTTCTTTGAAATCAAGGCTGTCAAGGAAATTGAACCTGCGCTCAAAAAGCAGCTCGTCATCTCCACTGCCTTGATGACTGTTGGAATTGCACTTGTTACCTGGCTTGCTCTCCCATCGTCCTTCACAATCTTCAATTTTGGAGCCCAGAAGGTTGTCAAGAACTGGTAATTTCAAGGACCCACTTTTGCAAGTGACTTGTGACTGAGAAGAAACATTCTTGTTGACTGCAAAAATTTACCATTCAGAGTATGCTGACATTAAATATCTTTTGATATTGGTTTGTAGGGAATTGTTCCTTTGTGTTGCTGTTGGTCTATGGGCTGGACTTATTATTGGTTTTGTAACGGAATATTACACCAGTAATGCATACAGGTATATATATCTGTCCCTTTTCTGTATTGTCATTGTCTGCCAAACATTTTTGTGATCCTCATGCTTCACCTCCTTTTTACAGCCCTGTGCAAGATGTGGCCGACTCCTGCAGGACTGGAGCTGCTACTAATGTTATCTTTGGACTCGCCTTGGGATACAAATCTGTCATCATTCCAATTTTTGCAATTGCAGGTTGTATTTTTGTTGGCTTCAGCTTTGCTGCAATGTATGGTATTGCAGTAGCTGCTCTTGGAATGTTGAGCACCATTGCTACTGGACTGGCTATTGATGCATATGGTCCTATCAGTGACAATGCTGGAGGCATCGCCGAGATGGCTGGAATGAGCCACAGGATCAGAGAGAGGACTGACGCCCTTGATGCTGCAGGAAACACTACTGCTGCAATTGGAAAGGTAGATCTCCCTGCCGTTTTCCTCTCTCTGCATGTATTTGTTCGTCCTTCCATTCCATATTATTGATTTCAATGTTAACCTGTTTCTAGGGTTTTGCCATTGGGTCAGCAGCCCTGGTGTCTCTGGCACTCTTTGGGGCCTTTGTGAGCCGTGCATCTATTTCAACTGTAGATGTTCTAACCCCCAAGGTTTTTATTGGGCTGATTGTTGGTGCCATGCTTCCATACTGGTTCTCAGCCATGACAATGAAGAGTGTTGGAAGTGCAGCTCTGAAGATGGTTGAGGAAGTACGTAGGCAATTCAACACCATCCCAGGTCTCATGGAGGGCCATGCCAAGCCTGACTATGCCACCTGTGTCAAGATCTCCACAGATGCTTCCATCAAGGAAATGATCCCACCGGGTGCCTTGGTCATGCTTACACCCCTCATTGTCGGAGTCATATTTGGCGTGGAGACTCTGTCTGGTGTTCTTGCTGGTTCTCTTGTTTCTGGTGTACAGGTAATGCAGAGCGCCGTATGCTTTGCTTTATCTATCTTTCATCAATGAGAATTTCATATTCTGAATCTTCATTATCCTTTCTGCAATGTTTGACAGATTGCTATTTCTGCATCTAATACTGGCGGTGCATGGGATAATGCAAAGAAGTATATTGAGGTGATAATCTTTTGGCAGTTATCAAGATGACACTGTTTATTTATATACAATGTCTCAGTCTCAGACGTCGTGGTGTTTTTTTTTTTTTTTAACATTGCGTTTGTTGGCATTGCGTGGTCAGGCTGGTGCTTCGGAGCATGCAAGGACACTTGGCCCCAAAGGCTCAGAGCCGCACAAGGCAGCTGTGATCGGTGACACCATTGGAGACCCACTCAAGGACACATCGGGCCCATCGCTCAACATCCTTATCAAACTCATGGCTGTAGAATCGCTCGTATTTGCTCCCTTCTTTGCCACACATGGTGGTTTGATATTCAAGATCTTCTGAGAGGTGAACTCGGACGGGATGGGAATGGGATGGATTCATCAATTTCTTTAATTTAATGCTTCATTGTCGTCTATCTCCCCATTACCCCATCCTCTCGTTTCTAAACTCCTCACCCCCCCCCTTTCTTCCCCTTCTCGTACCCATTTCCCCTTTTTGGGGGTTTTTACGTTAGTTTCTGTAGGTGTTAGTTGTGGGTATTATTTTTAAAACTTCATAATTTGTAGGGTTGAGTCGAGGGAGCAAAATTTTTCTTTCTAATTTTGGTTGTGCTGTGGCTGATGATGATGATAACGTTAGATTCTGGATCACGGAAGGGTAGTTCTGTCTGGTTTCATTTACCTCAACTTTACAAGGATGCACTGTTCCAAAATTTTGTAAACTCATTGGTTTCACACTTTAGAATATTAGAGAGAACATTTTGGAAAGATGTGCGAATTAGTCTTAATTTTTTTGTACTTGTGTTTGCCAATGTTTCACTTCCACTTGCACATCACAGTTCACTATGCGATGTGCGAATGAATGTATCGACTCTTAAATACTCTTGATTGTTTTCCCAATTGGAAAATTGGGGTAACTTGTTTATCTCCCACGCACATGAAAACCCAAGTATCCAGTATGATGGCATGGTGGTTAGTAAAACCCCACTTGGCTGATTCGATGTCTTTTGGTGCACCTCTTGAAGGAATTTTTTAACGCTATTGATCCGGGAAGATTGATGGCTTAGATCATGTCCTATGTAGATATTGTAGGTCCATGATTCCTATTTCATACGAGAAGGAATTGAAGTCACCTTTTGTATCAGATAAAAAAAGACTACAAATTTTGTATGAGATAAAAAATGAAAATCATAATTATTAGGGAGAAGTACCAATCAGCCCAGATCAGAATTTAATAGGCCCAAAGTACAGGGGAATGCATCCTGACCGTGAATTGATGCCAAATTCACGGGCAGGATGTGGTTTATAGGGGGGAGAGGACTAGTTGTAGGGGGGGCTGGAATTCAAAATTCTGCATCGTGTGTTTCTGTACATTTCCCTAATTATTAAGACTCAGTTTGGAAGAAGTACAAGTACAAATTCATAAAAAAATACATAATTTGGCACTCCACATATTTGTATTTGTACTCCTTCCATGCTGAGCCAAAAAAAGAAAAAACGAAAGCAATATTGAATTGGGTATAAATTTTGCATCTGGTCAAGATTTGCACTACAACCAAATGCAACCATAGGTCAGAATTTGTTTTTTTTTTTTTTTTTTTTTTTTTAAGTGTGGAAGTGTAAATTCTGAATTTCAAACGTGAATCATTTTTGTTTTTTCATTGCCTTGACCAAGCTTTCAGGCAATATTAGCTTAGGGGGTGTCTTTGTCTACACTAGTCTATACTATACCTTGTGGGTGTGGACTAGTCTACACTATACCCAATGGCAGGGACCAATCCATACCACACTATAGTCCACAGCTATTCTGAACTGTGGACAAACTGTTGGATTGGACTAGTCTACACTCACAGTGGCGTTCTGTAGATGTGGTGTGGACTGGTTCACACCACAATTTTTGATTCCATGTACCTCATATATTTATGAATGATTTATACCGATGTTTTAAAAAATGACTCAGAAACGAAACCGTTCTGGCCACTGGTTTCCAAGTCAATGGTTCGACCGTCCGGTTCGAATAGATGGCCCATTATGACAAACAAATTAAAAAATTAAAAAAAATAAAAATAAAAAAGTCAAAAATCGTTGAACGGGGTGACAGTTCGACCACTTGGGTCAATGGGTTGTTGACTTTTTCAATGGTTTTTGGCCAAAAATTGGGTTTGGGGTAAATCGGAACCGCTTGCCTAGACGGTTCTCGGGCCAAATGGTCTGACTGTCTGGGTCAACGGTGGTTTGAAAACCTTGATCTACACAGTTAATCATAAATATCTATTTTTTACATTTTATATGATAAATATATTGAAAAATGTATCAATGAATTAATATTAACCAATAAATATTAATTTTTTTATACAAACAATAGTAAAATAATTAAAATTTTTAAAAAATATATTTTAAATATTTAAAAATATTATTTTATTGATAAAAACATTAAAAAATAAAAAAATATTAAAAATGAAGTAAAATAATTAATATTTTATTGACAAATATTAAAATGTGAAACAAACAATAGGGTTTCAGCCTTTCAGGGAGAGTGTGAAGCAGGGGATAAAAAATGGTGTAGACGGGCCCTAACCACGAGTTTTTGCTGTGGATGAGAATTTGGGATGTGGACGGGACCGTTCCATGATATAGCATGGACCGATCCTATCCATGGGATGAACACAGTGCTGAACACCACCTTAGTTATTCGAATAAGAATGGCAACAACGTGGGTTTGAGGGTAAGGACCATACTCCCCATCCCTGACCCTAATTCTTGTAGGGGACAAAAATGACCCTCCATCCCCAATCCCTAATGGAGCACCCGTCCCCGTGAGGGACTTGAATCCCCAAAATTTTAAATTAAAATCTATTTTTAGAAAAATTAGATTTTGATGCAATCTTTGGTTTATGTGCATTAAAGGCATTTTTGTCTTTATGTTTTATGTAATGGTTGCTCTACATATAAATAAGGGTAAAATACAAAAACCTCCCCTAAGTTTTCTAACAATCATAAAAACCTCCTCTATGTTTATACTTTAGCAAAAACCTCCACTGTACTTTTTAGAAAATATGCAACTACCACCCTTCCTAAACAAAAAAGTCGAAATAATGTGTTTGATTTTTTAAAATGCCTATTTTGCCCTTATGCATATCTATTTAGATGTAGATTTATTAAACTTTCCTCCAAAACACTGTTCATTTTCTTCCCAATAACAGAGAACCAGAGTTGTCATCTCTCTCTCTCTCTCCGCCTCGGCCTTCTGTCTGGCCTTGGCTATATCTCAGCTCTTGCCTCTTTTGCCTTCCTAATCTCGTGCACCATCTCCACTCGATCGAGTCTTTGTTAGTTCCTTCTTCACCTGCAATTTCACAAACACCCACCACCACACAAGGAAAATGAGAAACATGGTGGTATCTCGGCCTCACCAGTTGCTACAATGGGGCCAGCTTGAGTGTGTTTCAAGGTATTTAACTAACACAACTTGCATTTCGACCTCTTTGTCTTGTGCCAATAATCCCAAAGTTGAATACCAGATAAGATTAGACTTGTAGATACGAATAATTAGTGGAAGACTACATCTACGATAGCTAACGAGTCTGTCTTGAGTGTGCCTCAACGTATTTAGCTTATACCTGTCAAGCATGTAAAAGTTGAATATCCATGAAAAAGGGTGATTTCGGAGACAAAACATGAATTGGTGGAAGACGATGGCACACCTTATGTAGCTGGAGTAGTGATGAGAGATGTCTAATCGAGTCCCAATAGCACTTGTGGCATCCATTGATTTTGTTTAATTCCATGAGATGAATCCCCTTTCAACTTTGTATTGGAAATTTCTTTTTTTTCTTTCTTCTTAAAACTGAATTATTCGAAGTAAACCCATCAATCAAATTAAGCCTCATGCCAAACCCATTATTGAATCATGAAGCGGTTAGAAATTACACTTAGAAGGTATTCATCATTGACCCTTGAAAAATATAGCAAAACTATTAGCTATTTTAGGCTTGAGTACCCATTTGGCCATTTGAATACTATAACAAGTTGCAACCCAATTGCAACCTTTCGTTTTTCCTATAAAGCAACCCCAGCTTGCAAACTTTCGTTTTTCCTGCAGACTATGTTTGAAGAGGGAGAGAGGGAATGGGGGCGATAGATTGATAGACCATGTCTCAAGCTCTTGGGAATTGATTCTGTTTAGGAGAAGCCATGGCCATGGGTATGCGATGGAAGGCTGATGGCCTCTAGTTCTTACTTCTTAGGAAGAAAATGAACAGTGTTTTGGAGGGAGGGAAAAATAGGTATCTAAAAAAATAAATACATTAGGTTGGCTTTTTCTGCCTAGGAAGGAAGGAAGTTGCATATTTTCTAAAGAGTGCAGGGGGGACTTTTGCTAAAGTATAAACATAAGGGAGGTTTTTATGATTGCTAGAAAACTCGGGAGGATTTTGTGTTTTACCCTATAAATAATATAGCAAGCACCGACAACCTATTCTTTTCTTTCTCTCTCTCCTTTCTTATTTTCTTTTACATTTTTGCACCAAGACAAGATGGTATCAAAGGACAGTGGAATCTAATCTCTATTGTTGATTGTAACCTATTTGTCCTCCTCTATTTTCCTTTTCAGGAATGAAACCAAGATAGACAACAATTGCACAGGTTTTAACTCATTCAATGAACATTAGATTGTTGTAAACACTTGTTCTAGAGTGATCAAAGGAGGCTGAATCCATTTCTCTTGTTCCACCTTACCTTTTTTGGACTATGAAATTAAATTTTCTCAAATCGACTTGAGCTAGAATAGTTTTTTTTGTGGTTCCTTAAACTTGGTTCTTGGTAGAAACACCAAGAATAGTTCAGTTGTGTGGTGGTTGAATGGCGTAGAGGAGTTTTAAGACCTAAGCATGATAAGTAGGACTAGGAGAATGGCATGATTATGTCATGGCTACTGACATCCATGTTACCATTAGTGATTGAAATTTATGTGAGTAGAAACAACCTAGGAAATATGGGAACATGCAAAGTCGATATATTCAGAACAGAGACATTATGTCAGGATATATCAACTGTAGGCAGAGTCCTCTACATGTAAATAGAGAGAGAAGCTTATCTACATAGTATTCAACATTAACTTCATTCTAGAAAGAATTAGATTATTATCAAAATGTTGAGTGGGAAAGTGACAAAAATGCCAAGGCCTACAAGTAGTTGGTTTCTCAACAATGTGTATTTGCCTTTTCATTAGGCCTTAATCCTATATATGAACCATTAGAGTACAAATTCTAGGAAATAAGGATCTTCCTTTTATCCAAGATTTGTATGCATTAGTCCAATCTAAGGAGAGCAAGAGATCAGTAACGAATGCTTTTAAGGGGGATCCAATAACTATGGCAGTAAGGGAGGCACTAGATCTAGAAAGAAGGGCGATGGTTAGAAAAAAGGTAGACGACAAAAACAAATTGTGGTACACACATTGGCAAAAATCCAAGCACACCCGAGAGACCTATTGGAATTTGATTAGGAAACCAAAATGGGAATAAAAATTAGTGAAGTCAACATAAAAATAGAACAAAAAGCCTAATCAAAAGTATACCTTAGCAAACTTGGCCTCACAAGAGTCCTCCCAAGATCGTCCTACTAGTTTTGATCTCAATGAAGATATTCTTAATTCCTTTTGTGATGATCTGGAGTAGTATGGTAGGCCATTATGATAGGCCGATTCAAGATTTACCCTCTTAACTTCTTTTGCATCTACATCAGGTAGCATAGGCTCTGTTTTCTATGTGTCCTTTGATGCTCTAGAATCTCCTTGG